GTGTGTGTGTGAGTTGCAGCCCTCAAAGCGTGCCCGGACAATGACCACAAAACAGGAATTCTCCGTGGCTCTCCTTCGTGTTCCTAATAAGGACATATGGCCAGCCAAGGGGGGCAGGAAGTCGTTTTTTTTTTTTGTTTTGTTTTTTTTACCATGCTTTCACCTCAACGTGCATACAGGAAGTGACCCCCCCCCCCCATTAACACACATGTTGTCTACATGGAACATGGAGATGTTAATAAGGTGAGCAAGCCAATCAGGGAATTATCGCACGCGCACAGGCCGGTCTTTGAGAGGTCCTTTGGACCACGTCCATATAAGGACATATTGGCGTGAGTGAGTCACGTGACTGCGAAGAAGAAGAAGAAGAAGAAGAAAGTATTGCTTCCGAGTCACGTGACCAACAAGCAGTTCGAGTATCCGAATGAATCTCGTTTGAAGCGTTTGTATGGTGATGTGCTTGCGGCATCATGTGGATGTGGACGCGCGCGGGCGCGCGCACGCACACACAGACACGCACACAGGCCCGATTCGTGGCTCCAAGACCATATATGGAATGCAGCTAACAGCTAGCTTCTTTGCTACTTTGCTTTCCTCTCCCATCGTTCAGTGGCATTCCCGATCTCCGAGCGCAATACTCCATCGGCACAGGAGGCCCGTTTCCCATTGCCCAGACTTGATCTTTTATGCTTTTATGGTCTGGCATTCCAGCCGGGTTTCATGCAGCCCATGGCCAAAGGGGGAGGGGTCGGATTCTGGGGGCGCCTGGGACGGCTTAGCTTGGGAAGGCAGAAGCCGCTCCAATGGAGAGTTTCGTAAGAGAGCAGAAGCGGAATTGCTGCACCGGTGGAAGAAAAAGTTCAATACCGCCTTCTAATGTCAAACTCTGCACGTTTGAATGTGATACATGTGACTTTTTGTATTCAGCAAACCAAAAACCCAGCGATTCCTTCCAATTCAGGTCACTGTCGGGCCCCCTTTTTGTGCCTTATAAATCAAATGTTTCTTTTTTTTTTTTTAACTTTTACTTTTCTTTGTGTTTTCTGACGCATCTTGCGTTTGTGGAATAAGAATTAGGTCGCAAACTCCGCCTGTTTTTATCAGTTTCAGGGGGGCGGCCATTTTGTCACTCACTGTCACCTGAAAACGACACCGTCGAAGCTCGCAGCTCTGCTGACGATCACTCACGGCACAGCTTGTGAATGGCTTTCGCAGTCCAATTGCTTTTCGTCACATCCCAACCGTTTAGACCAGGGGTGGCCAACCCGCGGCTCGCGAGCCGCAAACGGTTCTTTGGCCGGTTCAATGCGGCTCCCGGGCTTTCACACGACAATTGTCGAAAACGCCTCGGCGAGAGCGCTGCCATTCAAACAACGGCGCTTAAAACACGGAACGTACTATGTCAGCCTATCAGCAGTCCAGTTACTTGATTGACATAGAGGGCAACCAATCAGATGACTGAATCACTGTTCATGCGCAGACAACTGAGTAAAGTGCTAAGATAGTCAGCGAATTAGGTCTGTTTTTAAGGCAGAGGTGCCCAATACGTCGATCGCAATCGACCAAGAGCCAGCGGACTGGTCCCAAGTAGGAGGAGGAAATGTGGGGCGGGGGGAGATGTGTGCTTGAGTCTTTCGGTTTCATTTATGTTCGGCTGTGACTCGTCGTGGTGTGCATACATATGTGCGTGAGTGCGTGTGTGTGTGTGTGTGTGGCTCTCTGCAGGAACACTGTAAAAAGTTTAGCTCTTAGACTCTGACTGGTTGGCCACCCGATTTAGACTTTAGGGTGCAATACAATTTACATCTCGATCTATATATATATATATAGATTTTTTTTCCATGGATTTTCTTCTCTCCCCGATATTCAAGCTCGTGCTCAAACGTTGTACTGTGCATAAATGTTTCAGTGATGATAAAATACAGAGTGCGTTGCAGGAACAAAACCACTTTCTCACTTTTGATGAACACTATCCGAGTATTCGTCCTTTGGATCAAATCAAGCAGTCAAATTGAAATTCAGCTCAACAGCGAGCGGTGCGCGCTTCCATGGTAACTTCATGGTCTGTGTGGAAAAATAATCCCAACAAAGCTTCAAGGTAAAAAAAACAAAACAAAAAACAACCCAAACAAACAGCATCCTTTTTTTTCTGAACAATCAAATCATTCCAATTATTTGATGAATCGTTTTTTAATCGCGATACTGAACACTTAGGCCTAATACGTTCCTGTATTTTAACGTTTGCCACGATGGTGATACTTGCCGAGATTTCAGTATATTTTCGAGCAGGTGCGGCATTTGCACTGAATGACACCCACGCATGCACACACAATAGTCACACAGTATTTATTGATTGATCGATCACCGGCTCACTTTTTTATGCGCGCGCGCACACACACACACACACACACACACACACACACACACACACACACACACACACACACACACACACACACCGAGCGCGTTTGATGGCCGCAGAGCATCCGACTCACGCGGT